CCCCCCCTTTTGGTAGCCTTGGGACATTCACTTAGGCTTAACAACCTAATTACTAGATTCAACAGTGGTCAGACTCAAGAAAAAAAAAATAAAATAAATGAAAAATTATAATGTTATAAACTCACACTCCTACTCTACCCAATCTTTAGTCTTCTTGTTGCTCTAAGTAACTTGTGATATCCCTAAAATATTAGTACTCATAGACAATAGCATAAATCAAAGAGATTCAATGAATAGTAATTCAGATGAAATTATTTTTCATTATCAAAATCTCAAACTAGGGGTCATGGATTGTAACAATCTCCCATTTTTTATGATGTCAAATAATGTTTGTTCTAAGAAAATTTGCATGGAATTTTTTTATTATTTTTGTGTGTTTTCTTTTTATTTTTCTTAATAATTAAAACATCACAAAATGGATAGAAAAAGAAACAAATAATACATTTCTTTGAAACATAAGTAACATACTTGAACATAAGCATAAATAAGCAAGAAAACAAACTACAACAGACTTCTCCACCTTTTGTCATCACCAAAAAAGAGGAGGCATAAACAACATTAAGAAAAACATCACAAAATAGATATACTTCAAAAGGGAGGATCCTGATCACTTGGAGGTGGAGGTGGGTGTAGTTGGAAATATTGAAGGATTGTCTCAAAGCGGTGATCAATCAAAGTGAAGCATTCCCCAAACCACCGCATGTCTTCCTCATGTTGTTGATATTATTCTTGTATGTGTGTGTCAAGATAACTCTGAAGTTGATCGAAGCATTTGACCAAATCATCGTGAGGCTAGGCTGGTGCAGGTTCTCAGGGTGGTGCATGCCGTCTTGGTCAAACAAGAGCCTCTATAGGAGCAGCTTCTCCTTCTTGTTCATCAAAAACATGATCATCTAGATTTGGCCCCTGATGAAACAAAATATAGAAAGAGGCATCCGTATAGAAAATAGGTAGGTTGTTGGGTTCACCAGGATAGGTTAATTGATATTTATTTTGAAGAATGTATCCTATAAGGTGGCCAAGGAATAGATTTTGTTTTCTATAGGTCGTAGGGAGGCAAATTAAGGTCATATTTTGAATATAATCGATAATCAAATCTGCCTCATTGAATTTTGTGTTGGACATGATAAGATATGTAGTGACAGATAAGCTTGGGGTCATGCGGATATGATCGCCCGCTTTGGGTACTATTGAGGTTCTAAGTATGTGTTGAATGATTCTCGCATTTTGATTGAATGATTGAATGAGTGGCTGGTGTTGGTAGAAGGTGAAATTCCTAAGAAATAAGTTTGCAGCACTCCAGTCAAATTCATTGGTAAGAAAAAAAATAACTCTAGGATAGCTAGTGGAGAGTCCAATGTACTGGGTAAGATCTGCTCTAGTGATCTCAACATGTTGTTGGCATATGAAAGAGGTGAGGGTATGGTTTTCTATATTGATTGTGAGGTTGGCTAAAAATTTAAAAAGGAGTTTTGAATTTTATGGGAAGGCTAGAGTCAGAAGGAATTACAAAGTGGTGGATACAAATAGAGGCATTACCTCAAAATTGAGTGTAGCTTGGTTTAACATTTGAGATGGTGTAATTTTGTAGGCCTTATATTTGCGATAGGTTATTCATTATCAGTAGTTAGGAAAAGATCATTGGGTCGGATAAAGGAAGACAAGCTTCCAATAACTAGATGACCGCACTTGCTAGAGCTCGACATTTTGGGAAGGCAGCTTATACTAAGTGAGAGAAGGAGGAATGAGTGGAATAAGCTTCAAATCAGGCCAATTTATAGAATTATTAACAT